ACAAACCCCCAATCCTAGTGGCTTACAACAGTCATTTATTTTTCATGAGCCTGGTTGGCCTGAGTGGTTCCTCTGCCCATTTCTCCTGGTCATACATTGCAGCTTCATTCAGCTGGAGTCACAGCTGAGCTGGAAGGTCCAAGAAGGCCTCACCCACACATCTGGTGGCTGGTGCTGGCTGTTGGCTGGGGCATCTCAGATGGAAGGCCATCCCTCCCATCCTTCAGCTGATAGACCAGTGCCTTATGTGGTGGTCTAGGAGCAGCATTCCAAGAGGGGCATGGCAACAAGCTTGCAAGGCCTCATGAGGCCTAGGCTCCTGAACTCATCAAGGGTCACTTCTGCCACATTCTGTTGTCAGAGCAAGTCACAAGCCCAGCCCAGATTCAAAGGGCAGGGAAAGGGATGCCACTTCTTGGTATGGGGGGAGCAGCAAAGAATTTGTGGCCTTATTTATGAGACATGATGGGCCGGGTGTGGTGGCTCATGCCTGTAATCCCAGAACTTTGGGATGCCAAGGTGAGCAGATCATTTGAGGCCAGGAGTTCAAGACCAGTCTGGCCAACATGGTGAAACCTCATCTTTGTATTTTTTTTTTTTTTCTTTTTTTTTTTTGAGACGGAGTTTCGCTCTTGTTACCCAGGCTGGAGTGCAATGGCGCGATCTCGGCTCACCGCAACCTCCGCCTCCTGGGTTCAGGCAATTCTCCTGCCTCAGCCTCCTGAGTAGCTGGGATTACAGGCACACGCCACCATGCCCAGCTAATTTTTTGTATTTTTAGTAGAGACAGGGTTTCACCATGTTGACCAGGATGGTCTCGATCTCTTGACCTCGTGATCCACCCGCCTCTGCCTCCCAAAGTGCTGGGATTACAGGCTTGAGCCACCGCGCCCGGCCTCATCTTTGTATTTTATAAATACTATATTTTATATAAAAAGAGATGTGATCCACATTGCAAACTGTAACAAAAATGATTCTGAGGTGTACCAAATTGTGATTAGTATGTTTTTTTTATTTTTTGAGACAGGGTCTCACTCCATCGCTCATGCTGGAGTGCAGTGGCACAATCATAGCTCACTGCATTCTCAAGCTCCCAGGCTCAAATAATCCTCCTGCCTTGGCCTCCTGCGTAGGCATTCACCACAACACCTAGTTAATTAAAAAACTGTTTTTGTAGATATAGGGTCTTGCTCTGTTGCCCAGGCAGGACAGTAGCAACATGATCATAGTTCACTGCATCTTCAAACTCCTCAGCTCAAGCGATCCTCCCACCTGAGCCTCCTGAGTAGCTGGGACTACAGGAGTGTGCCACCCTGCCTGGCTATTTTTGTTTCTTATTTTTTGTCTTTTCTTATTTCTTGCTATGTTGCCCAGACTGGTCTTGAACTTATACCTGCAGCTATCCTCCTTCCTTGGTCTCCCAAAGTGCTGGGATTACAGATGCAAACCACCATGCCTGGCCTATGTGGCCATCTTTAATCTGCCACATCATCTATGTTAAGATATTTGGGGAGAGTATTCCGGGCAGAGAAAGAGCAGATGCAAAGACCCTAGGGTAGGATGGTGTCCAGAGACCTGAGCCTTGAACAATGGTGCGATGGTTGATACTGAGTGTCAACTTAATTTGATTGAAGGATACAAGTATTGATCCTGGGTGTGTCTGCCAGAGTGTTGTCAAAGGATATTAACATTTGAGTCAATGCACTGGGAAAGGCAGACCCACCCTTAATCTGGGTGGGCACCATCCAATTAGCTGCCAACACTGCTAGAATATAAACAGGCAGAAAAATGTGAAGAGAAACTGGCCTAGCTTCCCTGCCTACATCTTTTTCCCAGCTGGATGCTTCCTGTCCTTGAACATCAGTCTCCAAGTTCTTCAGTTTTGAAACTCGGACTGGCTCTCCTTGCTCCTCAGCCTGCAGAGAGCCTATTGTGGGACTGAGTCAGAGTCTCACTCTTGCTGCCCTCCCGGGTTCCAGCGATTCTCCTGCCTTAGCCTCCCGAGAGCTGAGATTAAAGTCACCCGCCACTATGCCCGGCTAATTTTTGTATTTTTTGTAGAGACAGGGTTTTGCCATATTAGTCAGGCTGGTCTCAAACTCCTGACCTCAGGTGATCCACCCACCTCAGCCTCCCGAAGTGCTGGGATTACAGGTATGAGCCACCGCACCTGGCTATATATATCATCTATTCCATTAATTCTGTCCCTCTAGAGAACCCTAATATAAACGGGTTCCTCTACTCCCTTAGTTTCCTGTCCTATGAAGTGGGAACTAAGGATGTCTCCCTGCCTCCTTTATAGGAACACAGGATGTAAGATGCTTTGCTTCAGGGCTGGGTTAGGATTTCAGTTATTGGCCAGTGCCAGGGAGGAGACACCAACACAGGAGCTCAGCTTGGCCTCCCCCAAGCTCACCAGCATTTGTTGAGCACTGTCTGGCAGGAAGGCACAGTGCTCAGCACCACAGGTCACTGCAGGGGAGGGGGGCAGCGGGGAGTCTGAGGGTTGCTGAGCTTGCCAAGTTTATGGGATAAAAAAAATTGCTTGCTGCCCCGAATGTGACCGAGACATACTAGATGCATCTCAGAAGAAAAGAGCCGGGAGGACTGTGGGGCTCAGGGAAGGCCTGGTGGAGATGGGATTCCAACAGGGCTTTGAGGGGCACATAGGATTTGGCTGAAGGAGGGGAAACTGTTGATAGGAAATGTGTAAGGGGCTGTGGAATTTAGCAATTCACTGCAACAAATGTTTGTGGAACCCCTACCTTATGCCACATGAAAAGGACAGACAGAGGTACTGTGAGGACCCAGAGGAGACATGACTCAGGTCTCAAAAGGAAGTGATGATGCTTCAGAGGCCTGAGGATGAGTCAGGTCAAGCACTGTGGGGCACTGGGAGGAGCAGATGACACCAAGAGGGTTCCAGTGGAAGGACATCCGCAAAGGACAGAGAGGAGGGAGGGCTTGAGTTTCTCAAGTAAAGGCAAACGAACTGTGTCTGAAGTAGAGGGTCCATGTAGAAGAGCAGAAGGATGAGCTCAGAGCCAAATGGGTCTCATGGGCTAAGTAAAGACTTTGTCCTTTTTCCTGGCCGGGCACAGTGACTTACACCTGTAATCCCAGCACTTTGGGAGGCCAAGGCGGGTAGATCACTTGAGGCCAGGAGTTCCAGACTAGCCTGGCCAACATGGTGAAATCCCCTCTCTACTGAAAATAGAAAAATTAGTTGGACATACTGGTGTGTGCCTGTAGTCTCAGCTACTGGGGAGGCTGAAGCAGAATCACTCAAACCTGGGAGGCAGAGGTTGCAGTGAGCCGAGATGGCGCCACTGCACTCTAGCTTGGGCTTTTGAGACTCCATTTCAGAAACAAAGAAAAAATAGGCTTCATCCTTTATCCTGAGGGCAGTGTATGTAGGAACGCCAGATTTAGCAAATTAAAACACAGGTTGTCCTGTTAAATTTGGACATCAGATGACCAACAAATAATTTTTGTAGTACATATATGCAATGACTGGGACATTCTTACACTAAAGTATTATTCATTGTTTATCTGAAATTCAGTTTTTGTTCTTTTCTTTACATAGGCTCACACTGTGTTGTCCAGTCTGGCCTCAAACTCCTGGCCTGAAGCGATCTTCCTGCCTCAGCCTGCTGAATAGCTGGGTCTACAGGTGTGTGCCACCATACCCAGCTTGAAATTCAGTTTTAACTGAGCCTCCTGTATTTTCTCTGGAGACTTTAGGCATGGGATCATGGAAAGGTTTTAAGCAGGGAAAGGACAAGGTCAGATTTACATTTTCAGAAGCTCCCAGGATTCCTAGGAAAATAGACTGGAGGGAGACCAGGAAGGGGTGGGGGATGAGGTTCCTCCTGTTGCCCAATCCAAAGAAGTGCAAGTCACCACCAGGAGTGGGGACATTACATCATGTCTTCCAACACATTTGCCTCCCCCACTGGCCTTGGATAAACCCCAGCCAATGAAACCCCAGAGGGCTACAGGCCAGTCAGACCCCAGCTCTGCCATGTGAGCCTCTGGTATGGTTTACTCCCTCTCGGATGCTCATCTGCCAAACAAAGGGGTCAGATGAGCAGAGACTGCCCATGAGGGCCCTTCTGTGTCTGCCATCCTGGGGCTCTCTGCCCATCCTGGAACTCTCTGCCCATCCTTTCTCTGACACCACTCCTGGTACAGGCCCACCAGGGTGAAAATTCCAAGCCTGAGATGTTTGGCTCCCAGGTCATCCATCCTGTGCCTCTTTTCTCCTTCCTTCCTGCCATCATTCTGCTGGATGAATGCATGAAGGGGCCCCGTGTCTCCTCTCTCCAGCCTCAGGTCCCAGGCCTGGTTTGGGAGGACAGTCTCAACCTGTGTTGATACCATGCGATGTGTTAAGCTAGGTCATCTGCATCACTCATTTCACTGAACCCTTGTAGCAGTGCTACAAGGAAACCATCATCCTCATTTCACAGATAAGGGAGACTGAGGCTCAGCGGTCCTTGCTGACCCAGTCACACAGCTGTGCAGGGGGCAAACCCGGAGTTGAGTCCAGTCCTGGCTGGTGCCAGTGCTCTGCCCCCCACCACTGTCTCCATGAAATGTACTCTGGAGCCCCTAATCCCCCATTTATTTAGTGCTCGGGCTCAGTCAGCAATCTTCTTGTCCCGCTGCAGGCATGTGCTGCCCTGGCTCTTTCTGAGTTAAGCCAGGGACTGAAATGGATCGGCAGAATGCTCATCTGTTGGGGGCTTTACGGTTTATGAAGCCCTTTCCCATCTATGCCCTCCCCACAACCCCATGGAGACTCTGCACAGCCCCTCCAGCTCTTGGAGACTGCAGCTTTGCCGCAGTGAAGGCCACATTAAATATTAACAGGGCAGCTCCTGGCCCCACTGTGACGTCAATTACGGGGCCACTTGGTGAGGGCTGCTGATGCCTTTCCAAGGTGAAGCAGTGACCGGAATTCAGCTGGCTCAAATGGCGTCCCAGGAGGCTGGCTGTCAGGACTCGGAGAAGATGCTGTTAATGTAAGGCGTGGCAGAAATCCAAAAGCTTTCCTTTGATCTCCGTGGCTCCCTTGGGGCCTGGTGGCATCCTGAGGCTGGCGAGATGCATCCAATCATTTGGCAGATATTTATTGAGCACTTGCTGTATGCCAAGCACAGTTTGAGGCTCTGGGGAGACAGCTGTGAACATGATGAGGTCTTTGCATAGTGGTGCTCCCTGTGTGGTTGAGGAAAGGGAGAAACTCAGCTCTGTAGGCTAGGGCAGGTGCCCACCCCAGCCTAAGGCCAAGGGATCCTTCCCAAAGAAGTCAGGGTGATGCTGAAACCTGAAGAAGGAGTCCAAGTAGGGAAAGAGGAGGGGCGAGTATTTCAGGCATAGAGAATAGGTTTCGAGCTCAGATCCTGATTCCACCTGTTCCTAGCCATTTATTTACAAATTATGTTCCTACCATGCAGGGTTGTTGTGAGGACTAAATGAAGCCATTGCTAGCAACAGCACAAGGCTGGATGCATAGTGAGGTGTACAGTGAGAGCTCAGGCGTAGCTGCTGTGAAATTAGCTCTGGGCCATGCACAGTGGCTCACACCTGTAATCCCAGCACTTTGGGAGGCTGAGGTGAGAGGATTGCTTATATCCAGAAGTTAAATACCAGCCAGGACAACATAATGAGACCCCATCTCTATAAAAAATAGAAAATTAGCCAGGCGTGATGGTGCACACCTGTAGTCAGTCCCAGCTACTCGGCAGGCTGAAGCGGGAGGATCACTTGAGTCCAGGAGGTCGAGGCTGCAGTGAGCCAGGGTTGCGCCACTGCACTCAGCCTGGGTGACACAGCAAGACCCCGTCAAAAGAAATAAAGGAAAGGAAAGAAAGAAAGGAAAAGGAAGGAAGAAAAAAATAGTCTGTGCCTTTATATGCTTCCTTTGCACTGCTAGAACTTCTTGCCCCATTTGGTAAGCAGAGAAACTACTGAGGCTTAGAGAGGTCAGAGAGGTGACCGACATACCCAGGGTTATATCATGGTTTAGACCCCAGGTTGCACATGTGATCCTAGGCTCTGGCCTGGGCTTTTTGCCATACTCCATCCACAGGCAACCCAAGTAATTATTTCAGCTCAGTGAGACACAGAATCCCACCAGTGATTCCCAGCATGAGTTCCTCGGCTGCATGTCCAAGGGTAGTCTCAGCCTTCTTTGTGGTAAGGCCCCAGCTGTCTGATGATTAGCCCAGGGTTGGGCTTTGGGAGGCCTGGGCATAGATTTGATTTTGCTGCTAACCTGCTGTGTGACTGTGGGTGAGTTACTTTCCCTCTCTGAGCCTCAGTTCCCACAGGGCCAGCTGAATGACCAGTTGTTATTGTCTGGGTCTCTGATCCTCCCAGTAGTGCTGTGGCAAAGGAACTACTTTGAATTCCATGTTAAAGATGAGGAACCAGGCCAGGCGTGGTGGCTCACACCTGTAATCCCAGCACTTTGGGAGGCCGAGGCAGGCGGATCACTTGAGGTCAGGAGTTGGAGACTAGACTAGCCAACATGGTGAGACCACGTCTGTACAAAAAATACAAAAAGTAGCTGGGTGTGGTGGTCTGTGCCTGTAATCCCAGCTACTCAGGAGGCTGGGGCAGGAGAATTGCTTGAACCTGGGAAGCGGAGTTTGCAGTGAGCCGAAATCACTTCAGCCTGGGCAACATTGAGAGACACTGTCTCAAAAAAAAAGAAAGAAAGAAAGAAAAAAACATAAGGAACCAGCAGTCTGAGATGGACAAAGTGGCATGCCATGCACAAGGCTACACAATTAGCAGGTGGGGGCCGGGATTTGGGAACAGCCCGTCTGCTGGCAGAGCTGGCCATCAGTCCTTGAGGCTGTGCTGCCTCTTGGAGTAAGAAAGCCAAACTCAATTGTCTCCAAGATCCTTATTATGGGCCTGTGATTCTGTGAGTTCCCTGCTGCCCCAGGCCTTCAGGGCTCAATGACTTCATGGGGAAGGCATTTCAGGTTGGGCTGGTCCTCCAACTGTCCCCATTTAAAGTAGGTAATAGCCCCGTAGGCAGCACTCCCTCCCTCCCTCCCTCCCTCGGAAAAAACCTCATTCCTCCTGAATGAAGAGGTGTAGGGAGAACAGCAACATGGCCATTTTATGGAAGAGAAAACTGAAACTCAAGAGAGGTGCAGCGGCTTGCCCGGGTTTCCCCAACTACTGTGGAAGAGCTAGGATTAGAGGCTGGGTCTGGTAATTCCAGATCTTGTATTCTGAATAACTGCAAACTGGCCAAATTCAACAAGACAGCCCTCCTCCCCCTCTGAGCTCCCTCCCAGCTCCTGCAATCCTGCCTGCCTTGTCCCCTTGCTCCCCCTCTTTTCTTGCCTTTCACTCAGCTGTCATTTAATGTTAGCTGTCAGCTGATTACAGGTGTTCCTTTTGCTGGGATGGAGAGGGAGAGGACAAAAGACCTTGGCTACTCAAAAAAGGAGTGCTGGTGTTGGGAGTTTTGTAATATGCAGAAGGTGTAACTGAATTCAATTCAGCATTCATTGAGTGGTGCCTGGATTCAGGACACTCAGCCAGGGGCATCCTGGACATCCAGGGGCATTCAGGACAGGCATCCCAGGGGCTCAGATGGTGAATGAAACACAGGCCCCATCCTCCGGTGCTTACAGTCTATTACAAAGGAAATGGCAACTTCCTAAGGAACTGGGAAGCAGATGGTGTAAGCAACAAAGAATATGAACCTTACAGTCAGAAAGACCTGGGTTCAAATTCTAATTCTTCATCTAATAGCAGCATGACTTTGGGTAAGAGGATGCCTCTCTGAGCTTTAATTTTTCTATCTGTTTAATGGGTATAAGAGGAATAGCTCCCGGCTGGGCACGGTGGCTCATGCCTGTAATCCTAGCACTTTGGGAGGCTGAGGTGGGTGGATCACCTGAGGTCAGGAGTTCAAGACCAGCCTGGCCATCATAGTGAAACACCATCTTAAAAAAAAAAAAAAAAAAAAAAAGGAATAGCTCCCATGAGGATTAAATGAGATCTTATACCACACTAAATGACATAATGTAGTACTTGATGCCCAGTAGCAAGCCAGTGGCATTTCTACCAATGTCTCTCTAGGCAGACAGTGGATACCAGAGTCACAGCGGGAGTAACTGGAAGGCGAGAGTACTTCTTGTTGGAGAAACTTGGAAGGCTCTTTAGAGAAAGATTTCAGTTGGGTATTAAAGGAATTTAAGAAGCAGAGAATGGGGTGGAAGGATGGGAAAGGACATTCTGGAAACTCATGGGCAGAGTCTGGGAACCTGGTGGGCCTAGAGTGTCCAGGGAGTGATCTTGAGAAGATGTACCAGGGACAGGTTATAAAGGACCAGGTAGAGGAGTTTATATCTTTTTTTTTTTTTGAGACTGAGTCTCACTCTGTCACCCAGGCTGGAGTGCAGTGGTGCGATCTTGGCTCACTGCAACCTCCGCCTCCCAGATTTAAGCAATTCTCTGCCTCAGCCTCCCGAGTAGCTGGGACTAAAGGTGTGTGTTACCACGCCTGGCTAATTTTTGTATTTTTAGTAGAGATGGGGTTTCACATTGGCCAGGCTGGTCTTGAACTCCTGACCTTGTGATCCACCCACCTCGGCCTCCCAAAGTGCTGGGATTAGAGGTGTGAGCCACCGTGCCCCGACGAGGAGTTTATATCTTTAAAGAGGGAATGGGTCCTACCCACGACCCCAGGGGTAGCTCAGTGCTGTCTCTGCAGAGGCCAGCCACCCTTCTGCAGGAGTTGGCCTTCTTATGTGGCTATGGTCCTCTCAGATCCCTGTCTCCTGAGTCAGGGCCAGCCTGCCACCATTATCTACCAGAAGACAGAAGGCTGTAACAATCTGCTTGCCTCCTACTAACATACTGGGGAGGAAAAAATGTTTTCTAGCACAGTTGCCTGGCAGAGAACCATGGTGAAAATTCAGCGACCCTCTCCCTTGCTTCCCAGGGTACAATTTCAGCAGCAACTGATGACAGTTATGCTCACAGCTCAGCAACTAAAAGAATGTTCTCAGGCTCTCCGAAGGTCAGGGGTAGCGGTGGGAAGAATGGTGAAGATGGAGCAGAGCTCCTGCTCTCTGTGTTGTAGCTGGGCAAGACACTTAACCTCCCTGGGACTCAGTTTCCTCATCTGTAAGATAAAAACAATAATCCTAACCTTGCCTTAACCAAGAGACAGTGTAGTAGCAAACTGCTGGCCCACGACCTGCTATGGAGTAGGAGTTTATTATCTTCTTCACTCCAGGTCTTGGCATGGTCCAGATACTTGTCTTTTGAAGCAACTCTGTTGTATCCTCTTGAGTTGTCATGCCATTGTCTGCTGGTCTTCTAATGGCGAAATACCCTAGACTTTCAGAGCTGGAAAGAAAAGGTACTTTGCCATTCATCATTGCAGCCTCCCATTTCACAGATAAGAAATCCAAGGCTTGGGGCGAAGGAACAGCCTTCTCCAGCTTTTCTGGACCATGCACAACAGCCCCTCCCACCTGAGCCCACCCAGTGGGAACCACGTAAAAGCTTGAGGCAGTTATCCAGATGGTTCAAGCCAAAAGATCCAGAAAATTCTTGTTAAGAAACACAAGCTCCCGGACCATCTGCAGAACTGAAGCAAAAGCCTTTTTCACCCTCATTTTAACTGCAACTCCATAGGTGTCTGGCTTTGCCTTCTTCTCCCCTAGAGCTGAGCTCCTCTGAACAAGCTGGAGTGGGGTGGGTACTGGGGCTGGGGCTCTGAGCTCCACCAGCTCACAGAATCAGATCAGACTGCAGCTACCAGGACATTTTCGTACTTCTTAATGCCGAAAGCTGCCTTGGGTGCAGGTTTGCTTCCAAGGCAGGCTTTGAAAGAGGGGTGGAAGGCTCTGGGTGATCCTGAAATCTCTGCACTCAGGATGTTCTTTTTTTTTTTTGAGACGGAGTTTCGCTCTTGTTACCCAGGCTGGAGTGCAATGGCGCGATCTTGGCTCACCACAACCTCTACCTCCTGGGTTCAGGCAATTCTCCTGCCTCAATCTCCTGAGTAGCTGGGATTACAGGCACGTGCCACCATGCCCAGCTGATTTTTTGTATTTTTAGTAGAGACGGGGTTTCACCGTGTTGATCAGGATGGTCTCGATCTCTTGACCTCGTGATCCACCTGCCTGGGCCTCCCAAAGTGCTGGGATTACAGGCTTGAGCCACCACGCCCAGCAGGATGTTCTTAGTTAAGACACAGCAGGTGAAATGTGGTGTCAGCAAAAGATACTGGGGTCAAAGCAGATGGTGCAAAATGGGGGTGAGTGGGGAAGGCTTCAGATGACTGCAAGCATCTGACTCTTCTAGGCCTCAGTTTTCTCATCCATATACTGGGGATAACAACCTCCCTCCAAGTGAGGATGTGGGGAGATAATATGAGAGTAAAGTGTTCATCCTCAAATCAGGCAGAGGGCAAGTGATTAAAAAACAAGGCCGGGCGCGGTGGCTCACGCCTGTAATCCCAGCACTTTGGGAGAC